TTTTCTTTTAATACAGGCGGGATTACCTCTACTTCCGTCTGTGTGCAGTAAATATTAACCGGTACAAAATTTTCATCCCTTATTCACCCCCTTAAGTTTTATTTAAGCAACCAAAAATACCAAAATTCAGCAAAAACCGGTTCAGCAAAAATACCAGAATTTACCACAATCGGTTTAGAAGTTTAAGCGTAAAAGACTATTAAGCGTAGATTCACAGATACAGATTTGGTGAAGACAAGTATGGAGTTGCTTATTTATAAAAACATTGTCTTTTAAAAAAGAAGAAAAAATATATAAACTTCTTTATAACCTCAGTTCTTTAGAAGCACAAATGCTAGAAAATATCTCACCATTAAAATAATCTTTTATTCTGAATACAAAAATATCTTCTATTAAAATGTGTTCCGACATCGAAAATACGATTAGCGATTATTTTATACCTTATTTGCAAATTTTCTTTTGATACTTACTAAGTTTCCTATAGGCTTAAAAAGTGAGTTACTTAAAACTCAAATAATTAAAATCTTTTGATAGTACACATATTTTCTTTAGATGTAAACAACCAGCAGGAAAATGCTTGAAAATAAAAATATTTAAAACTTCTTTTTGTTTACTCACTTCTTTGGGAACGTATCCGTACGCAAGATCATTTGCCGCCAAAACACAGAAAACGAAAAGAAACTGTTTTAACGTCCCCGCTGCCATATTTAATTTAACAACACTGCTTGGATATTAATTTGTTTTAAATTCACTACAGGTTTTATTTTTAATTATTTCGAGAAGATTTTGCATTTATAGTTTGCGCAAGACTATATCGAGTGAGCGCTGTAGTAACAGCTGTGCGCTACATTTGTGCAAACACGCGGTAATGTAGGAGTATAAATTCTACTAGTCGATTAGTTAGTAAGTAAGCGTACCTATTTCGAAACGAATTTACGCGGTTCGGAAACACAAAGGAAGGTTCGCATCACCCCACCTTTTTTAAGAATCCTAATCTTGATGGGTAGAAATCTTGATGGATGGATTTGATGGAAGTTCATCTTCTATACTTATAATAAATCTGTAGAGAGGTCAATTCTGTACATGAAATATATTTTCAAAATAACTATCAGGGGGTGATTAGTGATCGATACTGATGCCAAAAATGCAATCAGTAAATTTTTTGTCTGTCTGTCTGTCTGTCTGTGTGTATGTTCCTTATAGAAACAAAAACTACTCGACGGATTTTAACTAAACTTGGTTCAATTATTTTTCATACTCCTGGGCAGGTTATAGTATACTTTTCATCACGCTACAATCAATAGCAGCAGAGTAGTGAAGGGAAATGTTGGGAAAACAGGAGAAGTTACTCCATTTTTAAACGGTTTTATTTAGCTCACCCCGTTTGTTTTATTCTTGGGTCAAATTTAGTAATTCAAATTTCACCCTCTTCCTGTCAACCGATTAATCTGAAATTTTGTATACACTTTGGATTTTGGTGACAATACAATTATGTTTATTCATTATCATTATAAATTCAAGATGGCCGCCGCTACAAAATGGCGGATAATTTATGTTTTATTAATCCCATCAATATGGGTATCAAATGAAATTGAAAGACAATTGACGTGCCCCACGGTTTTATTTTAGTCTAGTCTATGCATATGTTTATAATTCCCACGACTGTATCTATTTTATTATTTTTTGGTTTTTGTACATTTATCTTAAACATTGCAATGTATGTTTAACATAAAACCGTTTAACTTAAAAAGTTTTTTTACCTATTTTTATTACAAGCTTTTATTTAACTTGCTATGTATGTTTGTTACGGTCAAATCTTACAACTCAATTTTAAAGCACTTGCTCTCAACCGATTAAGCTGAAATTTGATATGCTCGTTCAGTTCGGATGACAATGCATGATTAACAGTGTGACGTCATTCTAAATCCAATATGGCGGCATACCCAAAATGGCGGACCAATCATTTTTAATGCATTCCTACAATATGGGTATCAAATTAAAGGGCTTGCTGAGAGTAACTCGAAAAAATGTGACGTCACTCTCAATCCAATATGGCGGACTTCTGAAATTTGAAAATCTATTTAGGAACAGATATCTTTAACTAATTTAGTTGAAATTTTCTTTTTTTCTTTTTAGCGCATTTGAATAAAAGCTTGTTTTTAAAAAGGTTTTTTTTACCTTAATTTAAGCTTCCGTCGCGTGTGCAGCCTTAATGGTTAAAGTTACATAGAAATCATGTATGACGGAAATATTCTACATTAAATTGTCTAAAAAATATTCCGCAACAGCACATGTCTATCTTTTGTGGTTGACTCACAATAACACGTGTAATTATATAAATAAAGAGAACAAAAACTATAGTTTACACTACAGCTCTACACCGAAGGGAAGCGAGGGCGGGCCACTAGTATTAAAATAAATTCAAATCTAAAACCATTTATTCGGCAATCCACTCTTAAAAATAAAATGATAATAAATAAATAAAAATGATTTATTTCTTTACCATACATCTGGTTACTTAAATAAAGGTAAGCTCTTTTTTTAAGTGTAAAGACACCTGTACCAAACAGAACCACTCTTCCATAGCATGAGTTACCTTTACATTATGGTATGGTCATTCACAATATTATGAATACATATAATTATAGCGGGAGTTACACCACAGAGCTAGTTAAAGTTTAATTTTACTAAGAATTTACCATAACCTGATATCAAAGCTAATCTAAATTACACGAAAATACAATTTAAACTAATTAAGCGGAGTGTTTGTTTGTGCATGTGTGTGTCCGTGTTTATGTGTGCGTGTGTGTGTGTTTGTGCATATAAGACATAGTATATATATACATACATATATATATATATATATGTATGTATATATATACTATGTCTTAAAATTAGACACATATATATATAGATATATATATATATATATATATTAGTCGTCGTCATCCAAATTCCTCTAGCCATTCTTAAGCTGCAAGGCAGCGCCATCTCTTCGCATTGTAGGTAACTCACAATGTTAAATGAATACTTTTACAAGTATTAAACATTTGAAAGAAGAAATAGCAATTATAGTTATGCGGCCCTGATGCGACGCTGTAGCATAATTGGTCAGTGTATTCGCCCGGATAGCGAAGGGTGCGGGTTCGAGACCCGTCTGCAGCCTGGTCCGCGTGGAATTTTTTCTTGATACTTTCTAACTAATTTAATATTTGTAAAAGTATTCATTTGACATTGTGGGTTACCTATAATGCGAAGAGATGGCGCTGCCTTGCAGCTTAAGAATGGCTAGAAAGAATTTCGACGCGGTCCGTCACAAGCAGTTACATGCTTTAAAATAAAAATAAATGTTATTTTCAACTTTAACTCCAACGGCCATAATTTAAAATGGAGCATTGATAAAAAAAAACTTCTGTTAAAAATGAGCCCATCCATGTGCGCACATGGTAGGAAAAGTACATAATACAGGGTCTGTCTGGTATCTGGTCGGTCTGCGTACTGTCTATTTAAAGCTTTAAAATAACACCAAGCAAAGCGCTCGTGCGAATGATCTGCAGGAACGTCAGAGTGATTAGTTATATAAAAATCGTGCGGCGGTCTGCAGTCAATAAACAATTGTACCCATTTTTAGACACAGCGAAAGCATAATAATAACAATCATTCTATTTTTAAAATCTTACAAAACTAAGATCTGAGCAGAAAATAAAAATTTCCGCTACGCGAACGCGTTTTACGTCTACAGTTTAGCACGAACGAAAAAAGAGCGCGTCAAGATAAACAAAGAAAAAAACTTTTATGATCAATGAATATAATTATAATAAGTAATCAATGTCGTTTTACGTTATTAAGGCTATGTTAAAAGCTTTTTCATACACAGAGGAATTCTAAAAAATTTAAGATATAGCGTAGCTGTGCATGCTAAACATCACACGTGCTGTTAAGATATGACATGATCTATCTCATAGGTGACTATATTTTATTTTAATTTTATATATTAAAAAAAAGCAAACAAAGACAAGATCCGCCTGTTGGTAACTAGTCTAAGACAAAGGATCACACCTGAACTGTAAGTTTCACATGTGCATTACCGACCTTGTAAGAACTTCTTCTCTTATTAAGAAATTTATACTGTAGCCCTTTGGAAAAACCTCAAAATGAAGCTCATTTTACTCTGAAAGGTTGTAGGTACTATATCCTTCCGATACGTTAAGACCGATTCCTATAGTGCACTGATCATATCATACTGAACAAATATCAAAAACACTTTTCCCAAAATGACTGATTTTCCAAAAGCCGGAAATTCTTAGTGTCTGATAAAAAAGATACATCCGTGACATTAATTCAATAAAAATGTTTAAGCAGTAATCGGACCTCTTTCCTCACATTGCCACACGCACGATGTTTTTCTTCAATATTTGGGTATAATTTAGGTAAGTTCTGCAATCGGTAAAGTGCATTTAGACTTCAGAAAATGCCTTTGGGACTCGATCTCACGCAGCTACGTGGAGCACGAACTACCGTGCAACCGTCTTCAAGAATACTAAAATGGATGTCTTTGATGTCTCTGAATGCCAAAAGCTTCATCATCATCATCAGCCTATTAATGTCCCCACTGCTAGGACAAAAGCCTTCCCTATGGATGGAATAGGTAGATAGGGCCATGACCTACCACGCGGGCCCAGTGCGGAGTAACGGGTGCTAACGACTGCAGATGCAGCCCGGCTGCTTAACGTGCCTTTCGAAGCACGGAGGAACTCGACATAGAAGATTTTTGGTCACTCATCCAATGACCGACCATTGCGAATGTTGCTTAACTTCAACGATCGCAGCAGAACGTGCTAACCACCAGCGCCATCGAGCTCCTCCCCAAAAGCTTATGGTTAATGAAATTAATATACCTTTTGCTGATGTTGCACTTCCGTGCTTGGGTAAGCTTGCTAAAGAGATAAACAAAAAATATGCATTTACAATATTTCTATAGATTCGTATTAGGTAGGTACCTGACTCTTATCGACCCCCGTAGTTCTTCAAATAGATGAAGTTAACACAAGAAAAGTTCACAAAGTTGTTAACAGTTCCTGTGGCTTATGTGGCCAACGACGCAACTTGTTTCCTTTCTTCACTTATAAGCAAATCGCTATATTTAAATTAAATCATTGAAAATCCTGAATGACACTGATTTAAATCAAAGTATTTGTAAAGCAAAGGATCTACATGATCATGGAAGATATCAGTGAGTACACTTCGAAAAAAAATATCAGGCTTATCAAAATGAACCAGTAATTAGAAAGTAAATACACTGTGTACAGGAAAAAAGTAAATGCTATTATAAAATATACTATTTCCATTAGTCAATTTAAAGGATTTCATTTTGACTTGACTTTTCGATTTGTTATGACTTAAGTTTGACATTTCTTTTAACCATCTCTTGAAAGCGCCGTCTAGAACTACTTGTAGAATGCTCTTTGCCTCAGAACTCAATCCAAATAAAAATAGCGAAATCTTTGGTCCACATAAAAAACACTACACTAAAGTTTTCGGTTAACAAGAAATCTGCAATTTGGTTACTTTAATAAATACACTAAAACACAATATAAATTTTCCATGTATTTGGTCAGATTATAATCAATATTACAATGTCACTTTCTCTACATAGCAAATATTAAACTAAAACTACACTAAAACTATACAAATATTAAAAAAATAGCTGCCCTAGGTCTTCCCCGTCGGCAAAGGTTCCCAGGACGCTGGCGGCATTTCCCCGCTGAATGGCGAGGCTTATGCGCTGGGCGAAATAGCAGCCAGCTCTGCGGTCTCCAGTGGTCTCCACCAATCTTTTTGCGATTTCTTTGTAGAGATGGTGGGCACCGGAGCCCCAGGGTCCCTGAGTCTCGACTCCAAACGCCGCAAATGTGAGGTCTCCACTGAGGCAATCATACTTGCGGCGCTTAAGGGCCTCTGCGGTCGAAGCAGCCGCGCCAGCCTGCATCGAGGTTCCGGGAATATGAGACGGGGCCAGAGTGTCGATCTCTTTAATTATATTTTTAATCAGGCAACAGTGAGCGAGCTTTATAAGTACACATTAAGATTAAAATATAATTAAAAATTTATACCTACTTAGTTTTTACTAGATAGTATAAAAACTTGTACAATAATATTGTTTATTTACAGTCTACATAACATAAGTGATTCTGGCGCGATGATTGGTTATAATTTATTTATAAGTAACTTCTATGATTATGTACTATGTATGGATGTGTATTATATGCTAATTATTATCGTTTTAACATTCTCCTTTCCAGCTTTCGGTTTTTCCTAACGTACTGATCCAATACGGTACAAATTGGTCTTCCAGTGCCGATAACATCAGAAGTTTCCGAGTTGTATGCCTGCTGTAGGATTTTCTGTTCGTTTACGTCATTTGTTTGTAGGCTGCTGGCATCGCGTACGTACTGGCTCCTTACGTCTGCTTCTAAATTCTCGATGAAAGAAGACAATCGTGCCGACTGTGGTGTGTAGTTGTCCCTGGTTTCTGTGCGAAATGTGCTGCAAAACAAAACATACATACTTACAGGCTGTAAATAAACCAGTTCTAAACTAAAATTCGCACGGATCGTGGTTTCAAGAATTTATTAACCACCACTACGAATACAGGAACTCTTTCTTTTCTTTGTTTGATTTCAGCTTAAATATTTTATGCTGATATATACTGAGTTACTCAACCGTGTAAAACAGTTTAGTTTAACTCTGTGTAAGTACAAAACTTCACAAAATAGTAATATTTGTTCAGAACCGCTAGTGGATATACAAGATAACAGATTCTGGCTTATCCACTGGCGGTTCTGAACTTCTGCAGCGAAATCTTATATTCATGGTTAGAATATTTAATTTAACGATGCTTATTACATAGTCCTGATTTTTATTACGTGCTTGTTTAAAGAATGCTAATAATTTGAATTGCTAAGGCAACGATAATAAATATCCTAGATACAACAAAACGAACAAAATCGTGACCGAAACCTGTCCAAAAGGTAAATTCGACGATCCATGGAGCTCCGTAAGATGATCGCGTAGTCAAAAACACTATTAGACATTATTTAAACATTGAAAGTTTTTCACCTTTAATGCATACTGTATCAAGGCCTTCATTAAAACGCCTGCGTCAAGACTTATGACAATTCGTAATGCAAGCTCATAAAATTTTATGACTAATTGCAATAAGCGGATGAAAATACCTCTCCCTTGACTCTCTGTCAATTAATATTCTGAATGCACTGTTAGCAATGTAGCAGGTACAGACCGCGAGGAAAAGAGACGGCTATATTACCGACCCGACCATGCATTTGAATATTACAAATATTTTCTATGAAATCAGTTTAAAGTAAGTACTAGAACAAAAATTTTCTTCAAATGCGTTAAATTTACAAATAATGATTAGATACCTGTCGAAAAAACGACACTTTACTTTTCAACTGTCCGCGCGTGACTGCGAACCAAGAAGTGCTTGAGTGGAGTTCAAGCACTTCTTGATTGAGACACATTTTGAGCGCACGTTGTGTATCTAGGGTATTCAATATTGCTGTGCTAAGGTTTTGCACGATTCAACAGCGGAAATAATCCTGCGTTTTTATTAAAGACCCACCATTGTTCAAACCAAAGAACACAGAAAAGGTTTCTGTATACTATAGTCTGAACAATCAATACCTCAATAATATCAACAGTCAAGTTATTTTTTACCCTGGCACCCATCCTGGGCGGTTATGTGTTCGTATTTCTCTAAAATCTTCTTTAAACTTCTCCCTGTCGTACGTGGTCTTTGGTCTACTCAGCGGTAGCTTGCAGTATGCTGGTTTCTGCTGCGGAGCTCGTGTCTACAAACATAATTATGCAAATATTCAGTAGTTGCTCTACTTCGGAATCAAAACATTTCCACAATACTGATTTATCTTTTTGACGGATTAGCTACAATGTATTGTTTTAAACTTTCATGGTCACTAACATTATAGTAATTGAAATCAACTTCACGATTGAAATTTTTATGTTTTGTTATTTCTATCGCTTCCCTGACCAATCTTGGTATGTAGTGGCGTTCTGTCGAGATAATCTGTGGGCGACAGAACGCCACTACATACCAAGATTGGTCAGGGAAGCGATAGAAATAACAAAACATAAAAATTTCAATCGCGAGGACGGGTTTAAATTGTCGAGTGTCTGGAATCCTGTGGTTCGTATGTGTAAAACCGAAAATAATCAAAAAAGTGTCGTGTCGCGATCCGATACTGTGAGGGTTGTGTATCGAGAACAGCTTTGAGTGAATAGAGAGAATGTGAACAGTGGTACGGGTATCGAACGCAATAAAAGACTTCGTCGGAGGGTAGACCGATATGTCTGCCAATAACAGCCTACCCGCAATTACTTCGTTACTCCGTGATCATGGCGCTTGCAACAGTGCCGAAATATCGGAAACTCGCTAAAAACAAGGCACATGGTAACAATCTCGTAAATAACTTATATAGCTACAATGTACTTTTTTTAGCGAGTTTCCCATTAGTTACTCCGTGATCATGCAACAGTGCTGAAATATCGGAAACTGACTAAAACAAGGTACGTGGTAGCAATTCCGTACGTAACATAAATTATTATAATGTTAATGACCATGAAAGTTTAAAACATTTCCATATTTTCATACATAAACTTGGACTATGAAATTATAAAACTGGCAACAGGATCATCAATATTCTTAATTTACAGTAAAGATTAAATAAGACTTCTTAAAACGGCGATGCAACTGCAGCCGTCGACCTCTACTGTCAACGTGGCGACGACCATTGCCGGCAAGCCGTCACTCGTCGGCCCGTTGGTGTGGTCACGTGGCCACGAGTGCCGTCGACTCGTTGACGGCTGACAGCTCGTCGACCTGGACGGCAGAGGTCAATAGCTGGCGTCGACCTCTTGATGGTTGCAGTTGCGCTGCCGCTTATTAAATATGAAGCCTAATTGACAAGGATGAAGCAATGTACTATGCTTCATCCTTGTCAATTATTTGAACTCAAAGGAGATGGAATAAGGTTTTAATAATATAATTTCGTTTTTAATTTGCTTAAGAACTTTGGTGCATTTATTTAAGAACTTACCCAAGCAACATTTGCAAAAGTGTAGTAAGTAATAATGTCTCTAGAGGCGGATGGTTTGGCGAGCTGATCAGCTGTGAAAGGCCGATGGTTAATTCTGTTAGTCGTCAGATAAGGGTCTAAGTATTTCTCGAAGCCATCGTAGGTGGTGTCCAAAGGCTCCAACTCTTTGTGCCAACTCGGCTCTATTTCAGGCTGAAAATTTAGGGGATAAAAACATTATTTAACATCACAAAGTACACAAATGTAAGACAACATTAACATTAATATTACACAATGGAATGCCCTATTTTTAAATAGCAATCTCTTCCAGGCAAATCGTGATGGAGTTATTTATTAAGAAAAAAAAAAATTAGCTGCAAAAATTAAGCAGATTAATGCATATATGAAAATATATTAAGAAACAATACTCTTGTCCTTAGGACATCACATAAAACAAACATTCAATTCTAGCGTTCTTTAATAAAATTTCTCAATATTTCTTTCGATAATTACCTATCTATATTTAAAATCTATCCATTAATTGCTTTACAATTAAATTATACAATAAGAATGCATAGTTTAACTCATTGAAACCATACCTAAGTATGAATCTCCATGAACTATTGAAGCTTTTGTGATTCTTATTAGTTTTAAAAAATGTTTACAGTGCAAGGTGTTTTATAATTATATGGGCCTACCACACGCACGAGCTTCACCACAGTTTTGCCTGCGCAGGCCGGTTTGTACACGGAACACGGTGCGTGTAGTTGGTACCCTTGGCGATTGGTTCCGTAGATGGCGTATCGAGGTTAATCCGGAAAAAAGCGTCGCGATCCTCTTTAGCACGACACCACCTCCCACGCGATCTCTTCCGAGCATCCAACTGTTTGACCGGGTCATCCCCTGGGAGGACCGGGTCAAGTACTTGGGTGTTACGTTAGACAACCGATTAACGTTTGCACCTCATCTCAAGATAATTCGCGATCGCGCAGCATTCATTCGCGGCAGGCTATTCCACCTTATAGGGAAGCGTAGTAAGTTGTCACTTAGACATAAGTTGACAATTTACAAAACTTGCATCCGCCCTATAATGACCTACGCGAGTGTTTGCTTCGCCCACGTACCCCCGTCGCGTCTTAAACCACTCCAAACGCTGCAAAATCGTGTGTTGCGCGGTGTCACGGGTTGCCCGTGGTACGTGCGCAACATCGATTTGCATCGCGACCTCAAATTAGACTCCATCGCGAAGTATATGAAGGACGCCTCGAGGCGTTACTTCGATAAAGCCGCGCATCAC